CCTGAATAACTGGTCCTGGCCTGTAACAGTTACATCTTACTACCCGGACAAACAGAAGACCAGAAAACAATAACCAGGCAAAGCCATTTTCTGCCCTCATACTGAACCCCAAAACCCAGGTGGAAGAACCGAAGCCCATGTAAGCATAAAAACTGCAGCTGGTGAATGAAACAACAGGGTATGACATCATGGAATAGTCCCCCCGAATATGAGTACACTTGAGGTTCTGTGAGTCCAAACTAACATAACGCAGGACAGAAATGTCCAGGGACTACAAAAACATTTCTCAGCTAGAAACATGTGGTGACACCAAAAATATTACTCTAGGTCAGAGGTTAGCAAGCTGTGGTCCAAGGTACACAGCCACGCTCATTCCATACATATGGTCTAGAGCTGCTTTCACACAATGATGGCAGAGGTGAGTAGTCATGACAGACTGTACGGCCTGCAAAGCCTAAAATATTTACTGTCTTCCCCTTTATGGAAAAAATTTGCCATCTCCTGACCTGAGATCACATTTGACTGTGTGGGACTTTTTACCAGAAATTTATGATTAAAAAATTATACTAAAAATAGTGTCTTCTGACACATCAATGCTCTTCATAGTCACAACCCCTTCTCTAGGTACAAGGTCAGAAATTTTGGGGTATTCAAAATTACCCCTACTGGGCTGGCCAGTTAGCTCAGTTGGTTAGAACACAGCCTTGTAACACCAAGGTCAAGGGTTTGGACAGCTGCCAAAAAAAAAAAAAAAAAAAAAAAAATTACCCCTCCTTTAAAAATATACTTAAGAAGACATGAAGTGCTAATATTTTTAAAAAGTGCCCAGTATGGGCTAGGCAGTTTACATGACATACACCTTTTAATTCCAACAACCTCAAGAGGTAGTAATTAACATCCAAAATTACACATGCTGATACTTAGTCTCAGAGCTGCTATGTAACTAGCTCAAAGAACATACTAGCTGTAAGTGGCTTCACTAGCCAATCTGCCTTTCTCCAAAACTTTCTTTACACCCACTGCCTGAAGTAGAAAGCAAACGGTTAATAAAAAGCTCTGCCTCTAGCCAGGCAGTACAGTGCAGCAGTTAAGAACAAGTACTCTGGGGCCGGCCCGGTGGCGCACTGGAGAGTGCGCGGCTTGGGAGCTACTAGCTGTAAGTGGCTTCACTAGCCAATCTGCCTTTCTCCAAAACTTTCTTTACACCCACCGCCTGAAGTAGAAAGCAAACGGTTAATAAAAAGCTCTGCCTCTAGCCAGGCAGTACAGTGCAGCAGTTAAGAACAAGTACTCTGGGGCCGGCCTGGTGGCGCACTGGAGAGTGCGCGGCTTGGGAGCGTGGCGGCGCTCCCACCAAGGGTTCGGATCCCATGTGGAGACCAGTTCCCGCTCACTGGCTGAGCGCGGTGCGGGCGCAACACCGAGGGTTGCAATCCCGTTGCCGGTCAGTAAAAAAGAAAAAAAAAAAAAAAAAAAAAAAAAGAACAAGTACTCTGAAGCCAGACTGGGTTTGGATTTTGGCTCCACCTGTTATTAACTGTGTGACCTGGGTCACACGCTTAATCACTTAATCTCTCTGTGCCTTCGTTTTCTTAACTGTATGTTGGGAATAATACTACAATATAATTACGGTAAGGTGGTTGTAAGGGTTAAATAAGTTCATACATGTGAAGCACCTGGAACTGTGCCTCTTGCACGGTTCAGGGCTATTTAATTATAAACTATTACTACAGGAGGGTCGAATCAGGGGATTTGAAAACAGGTGAAAAAACAATCTATGCGGTAACATCTAAATCAGGGTCAAAGCAGTGCCGCATTTTGTTGAGTAAGAATACTACGAATAATGCAATCATCAATTTGTTTAAACCATAAAAAAATCTCTTCTAAAAAAAGAGGGATAAACTAAAGAGTAGACCCAGAAATGAGATGCTCTCAGAATCTACAAATCTAGCAAGTCAAGAAGAAACAATTAAAACATCACTTTGATGACAATGATCCCACAATAACATCACTCAAAGAAGCCACATGGATTTTATTTGAACCACAGAAGTTTGGTAGCTTCTTTCAGTCCGGTTCAATGGAAAACAAAGTTGGTTTCATTAAAGCCAATTTAATTTCCCTTTAGATTGACAAGAGATGTGAATGTACAACAAGAAGACTAATTTATTTACTATTGCATTAGGCAAGATACTGATCCTGATATCTGAAGACAACTCTGCTTTTCCAAGAGGTAAAATGGTGAAGAGGAAAATTGAAATCCTGAATTTGTCATATACAACCAATCAATGAGTTGGAAATCAATGAGAGGAAAGCACCAAGAAAACTTTGAGTTCTACAGGATTTTTTTCTTACTCAGTGTCTGCTCTCCCTTTGCTTGTTTATAATACTACTGTTACTTTCTGGAACCAAGTCTCTCATCCCTAGCCTCCATGGATTCATGTGGGGTGAACATCTCCCTCTGCTTTGGAGATGGGCATATGATGCAAGCAAGCCTGGGTAATTCCCTGTGATTGGCTCCAAGCTAGAACACATGACTCAATCTGAGCCAATGATAGTCTGCCCAGGCTCTTTCCAGAACTACAGGGAAAGAGATATACTGTGGGACTGACAAACCTGTGGCACATGAACCTCTCCTCTTTAGTTCCACTTGGAAAGAACCCAAGAATGAAGGCAACAAAGAGGAAAATAGAGCTAACAATCAATGCTCCAACAAACCTGTTTAAAGCTCTGGATCAAGCCATGCTTGAAACCAGCTGTACCAATGGACTTCTTAATTACAGGAACCAATTATCATCCCCCACTTTTTTTTTTCTGCTTAAGCCAAATTAAGATGGATTTCTATAACTTGTAAACAAAAGTCTTCTTAAAAATATAAGTCAATAAGTTTAAGTACCAGGAAATAACCAAGGAACAGTTGCAGGTTGATAGTGGGCATTCCAATTCCACTGAGCAAACAGGAACTGAGACCATGTCATATCATGCGCAAAATTACTACAAATAATTGATAGGTGGTTTCCTATACAAGAGCCAGATCCCTAATATCCTTAGAAGAAAAACCTGCTTTTTTATAAGTACCAAGTCTAGGCCCCAATTCTAATGATCTTTAGATTTTTTCCTTTAGTACTAAATGTGGTTTGAAATGGTGCTCTCTCCTTTTGGGGATATATATCATCTAGTTGTCAGATCACATAATAAATGAACCTATGATCTGAGGAATATTAAGGTAGAAATACTTGGGCCATTAACTAAATTTTTAAAATGGGGAAAATTGGGAAACTGGCATTTCCCTTTCTGACTCTAAAATCACTACATGTCACTAAGAGTGTTGATAGCAATTTTATAGTTCTAAAGATTTTATAAAAATCATTTACTGATGTTTATTGGCTATTCTGTAGATGGCAGAAATCAGCATCAAGATATTTATCAAACCTGGCACTAGTGCAGAGATAAAAATCAGAATTTATAACTGGTTTCTGCCAAGTTCTTTTTCTCTCATTATATAAATATGATTAGGCAAATGATTGGGAAATAAAACAAAGATTCTATAATAAGTGATTTATAAAGAGAACAAAGCCCAATATCACTAATCTGAATCATAATAACTATAAAGGATTGTTGCTTAATTAAAATAAAGGATTACTGCTCTTGATTGTTGACATTCAGAAGCAATTTTGAACATCTCTAGTACTGAAGTTTTCAATGACCACATAATGCTCTTAAAGTAAAATACTGAAGTCAGGAAGCTATGAAATAGATTCATGGGTTTCCATTCATTAATCAAAAAACTATATTTGCCACAAATGCTTGCAGGTAACACTAGATATATCTCCTAAGGGTGGCTTTATTACAATATTTGTATCTAGATCCATAAAGATAGATATAGAGATTGTTCTAACAATATAAAGACCACACAAAACTGGAGACCTGCACATAAATCAGCCCAGCTCTGTTTCCTTGGGGGCTTGAATGAGAAATACTAGAGAAAAAGAGTCCCCAGCAACCAACTTATAAACCATCATGCAGCCAGATGTACAGAGGCTATACATGTGCATACGTATATAACATCTCTCTATATATATATCTCCATATATAAAAAACATGACATGATACAAAATGTTTAAAAAGTTCATGGAAAGGTGCATATTATCTATTAATTCCATTTTTCCATGAACTTTTTGAAATACCTTCGTATATATTCAATCCATAGGTCAATGATTCAATGATATTATAAATATATCTATGTGATGTCAGAAATTCAGGGCAGTTTAGTCTCAATTTTTTTAACTGACAAGGCAACATGGGTAAGGGAAATATTAACATGCAGTGCAGAAGCATTTCACTTCAGCTATGAGAAGATTAACACATCATTTACTTTCAGAGATACTGTGTCAGTGTTATAGATTCAAATGGGATAACCCAAGTTTTAGTCACACTTAAACTGTAGAAATTAAATTTACTCCAGTCTCCCTACAAGGACAAGATTCTGAGCAAAAGTCAACACCAATATAGAAAGATAAGAAACACGTTGGCAGCATTTTCTCAGCATTCTCTTCTTAAGTTTATAAAGTCATCTGTACAACAACAAAGAAAAAGCCCATCCACCAAGCTGCAACTGGCCAGTAGTTGACACCAGTGTTATAAAATCACAGTGAGCACGTATGTCATGGATTTAGTATGTACAAACAGGAATAAAAGTGAAAACTAAATTCTTGCAAGTTTAATACTGGGATTTTTTTTTTTTTTTTAAATCACTGTCATTCTGAAAAATGGGTAAAATATAGGTTCTTACTGAGAGCATTTGGGTGTCAGTCTTTTTCCTTTTTCAGTGCAACCCTCAAGAGATTTTGTAACTATTCCTATAACAGTGTGCTAGAACTCACAATTTAGAATCCTCTCTCAAAATGGTGCTGTGAAACTCTCCATCAAAAAGGCATAAAGCATGAACAGTAGGAGATGATATAGCTATGTAAAAGAAGAAAACAAAATAAAATCATTCTTACTTTAGAAATGATTGGAAATCTTCGCACACTGCTTCACAGCCTGGCCACTTGCATACGCCGTGACCATAGAGAGGATGGCTATGGGGGTGCTCCTCATGCGACAAACTGAAAGAAAAAAACACAGAAGACAAGAGAATCAATCTGTTGTCATTGAGAACCATCCCATGAGGCGAGGACACAAAACACAACAGGAATCCACATGGCCAAATGTTGACATGGCAAAGCTGTGATTTTCTTTTCCCATGGAATTTACTAATTAATTCTGCATTGTCATTTAAAAGCAACGTAAAATTTTACCTAAACGAGTTTAGTCAAATGTTAGGAATGTACATCTATGTATGAAAAGTCTTTGATGGGCTTTTGTTAGAAGCGAAGATCTCAACTGGGACTGTGAAGAATATTTTTTAAAAATGGAACTTATCATTTAATCTACATAATGAAAATTATAAAAATCTGTACAAGATTCTCTTGCTATGTTTTCTACCGAGAATATTATACATTTTTCCTTCTCCCTTCCCCCAGAAACTGCTTTCATATAATCCTACAGTATTTCGCAAGTTAATTTTATCCACCAAAGAACAGTGCAATTAAGTAATTACAATAATAATTAATAATGTAGAATAATAATAATTTAGAAAGACAAATATATCATATCCAAGTAGATGGTCAGATAAAAAAAAAAAGCTAATAGTGGCAGGAGGATTACATTCCTAAAATTGCTGACGCCAGGAGTGAGAGAAAACTTGGCATGAACACGAAGGGGTTAATCCTCCAGTGGGGTTCCAATCAATTCATAATGATTTGGCCACACGATCCCAGTCATGGGATGCTTTGATCCGCACCATGTGGTGCCTGGGGAAGAGTATCCATTGCACTCACTGATGAACCATATTCTCAAATATTTTCTCTATTAGACTTCTGCACTCAGACTTCTTTCAGACAAATTGTTTTTACAGTTGTTTCCATAACCTTAGATTCTGTCAAACAGAAATGTAAAACTAACACCGAGAGTTCTGCTTCAAACTCAAGCACATTCCCTTCACAGGAAGGGCTGTTTTGCAACTTCCTCCACTGCCTCTGCCTGACTTTGAACTTCAAGCACACCGAATTATGATCTCACACACACACGCATGCGCACGCACGCAAGGCCTGTATTTTACTTTATCTCAGGAGTGTATTCATATATTTTATTGATTCACGTTCTTAGAGGATATGTACACAAATGCCACTTGTCCCTTACTTATAATTAATTCACAGTAAGCATATTATGAACACTTAAACTAAGGAGCATTAATAATAAACACATATACACACAGAACGACACCTTAGCAAAAACCATTAGGTCTCCTTATGACTTCTGAATCATTTTGCTGGAAATCTGACATAATCTGATTTCCAGCAAAATCTGGCTTGAATAAATCTGGAAACAAACAAACAAAAAAAAGCAGGACAATAACTTGTGAAAGCATTGAAAGGTGCTCCTCATGTAAGAAAAGAATACAAGGGAACCAAGAGAGCTACAGTGAGATTTTCAAAGCCCAATAATAAGAGGATATTCTTTAAGTAGTTAAGAGGGTAAAATTCCACTGGACCCAAGGAAAGAGTGACTACCTATTCATGCTCATCTTCAGATTTGTTAACGAATAAAATAGATATGATACATAAATAGAATTTTTAAAAATTACTAACAATATTAGAAATGAAATGATCCTTCAACATTACTAGAATTCTCAGATATTCTGTGAGGCAAGAAGATCATTGAAAAAGAACATTGTTTCTATCAATAGCTTAGAAAAGAAAAAATATCCTAGCCTTAATAATTATTTCCTTTAGCAATTTTATTAGGATTATTTAAAGTAGTCTCATAATTGAGTAAATATATTATCTGTTGTGGAAAATTTGGAAAATACTGAAAAAAAAAAAATTACCTGCAACCCCCCCCCAACTTTTGACAAATTTAGGCATGAAGATTTATATCATTCTTTTACATTTATCATAATTTTGTAAATAATTTCTCGTGTTATCAGCTAGTCTTCAAATACCTTATTTACTCATGGGTAATAGTCCATCATATACCGCCTTACCTCTAGTTATGTGCTAAAATTTATCTAACACCGCTATTTGGGGCATTGAGGTCCCTTCATTTGTAAATAAAATTTACCAGGCTAAACATCTCAGTATATAACAATTGATTTCCACCAGAAGACACATTCGGAGAAACGAAATCATTCAATTAATGAGTACCTAAGATGTAAAAGTCACTATGTACATCCTATCTAGTTGCTCTTAAGAAATGCTACATGCCAAGTATTTTCTTAGCCATTATACATATTTTGTGTGATTCTTCAATTTGGATTCCTCGACTAGGTAGGATACAAACTTAACATCACCAGTTAAGACCTGCAAATGGTTATTCTACTGTGCTTTTTTGGGTTAGGCCAACAGTGTTCTGAAAATAATAACGTGAAATAAAATAATAAAATAGAATGTGCATTTACTAGAGGAATTTATGATTAGAAATAAAATATTCAAAATTTAACATATTTGCCACACTCCCCCCTTCTTGTTTTTTGGTTAGCTTATTTGTGAAGGAGTCAAGGCCTGAAGAAAAACTACTGTCCTTTAAGAATTTTTTAGTTTGACTTGATATTATTGCTTCAACATACAGGCAGATGACAACTCACTAGAGACTCAGAAGAATAACCAGTTATACCAGAGGTCTAAAGAAACTCAAATTCCTCACACACATATTTACACACTCAGAAGACCTCTTAAAACAATATTCCTTATGATAAAAAGTAAGAATATATGTTCTTATTTTTAAAAAGTTGCCATGTTACTGAGTTGGCTACTGAAGAAAGCACACTCCCCACCCCACCCTGATAACCTCACCCTGGATCTCATTGTTAACATTCTGGTATGTTACTGCTGTGCATTTCTCTTCTAATGTATCATTATTTCCAAAAATGGAAACATACTACACATACTGTTGTCACTTGCTTTTCCTATTTAATATATAACTGGATACTTTTAAATACACACACGTTGTCTGAAATAAAGTGCTTGACTTTGGAAGGAAAAAGAGGCTGGCAGAAGAGCCCTGGCAGAATAGCTCTGAAAAGACACATAAGAAACTAACAAACTGCTGCAGATGCGGAGGGGGAGTCAGAGTAGTGGGGAAACTGAGTTTTCACCTTACTACTTTGCACAGCTTTTAAAATTTTTATTTAGTGCATTATAGGATTTTTTTCTGTGCAATTATTAATTTTTTAGTAGAAAAAAAAATCAAGTGCTATGCAGATCTGTTTTCAGATTGCCATTTGCTGATAGTTGCCCAGCGAATGCTACATACCTGCTATCTGTGTTGCCGTCTCGCTTCAGGTCTTTCAGTCATTCTGTATGAAGCACCATCAGACAACACCAGCACGGCGCTACTGCTAATATCTGGAATCCTGTCGACATCGCCAATTGTAGTGCTCTTAATCCTGTTCGCGACGCCAATTGTAAAGCTACTCGACCACGCCAGTTGTCAGGCTCTTTTACCTGCCGGTAAATCTGCACCAACTGGGCCAATTGTCAAGCTAGGGCTGGGTCTGGTGCTCCCAGACCCCTCAAGCCCATTCACAGACTGGGTCACAAAACCCTTCACATGCCAGGTTGGGTCACCAGATCCCACAAACGCCAGACTGGGTCACCAGACCCCTTCACATGCAGGTCTATGAGCTAACTGGCCAAAAGGTCCTTGGAGCCATAGGTTGGAAAGCATGGCTGTGCAGGGCGGACGCCCGAGGCAGACACCCAACCTGCCTGCTTCACTAAAACTCCTCTCTCTCTAATAGCAACCTCTCTCAAAAGATACACTGGTGCGCATATGCACTAACTACACACACACACACACACACACACACACACACACGCTTACAAAGGATGTGCCAAAACCACACCCAACCGGACTGAGGCGAGGGCCCTGACCAAACTATTCTATTTTCCCAACAAGCAGCTGCACCTCTCTATGGAGCTTTCTGTTTCACCAAAAAAGCCAACAAGGATTTACATTCTTACTGCCTTTTGGTTTGTGCCAAAAGGGACAAGAAGGGAAATAAAAAGATGTGGAAAACGATATTTTTTAACTTGCAATAATTTAGAACTACATTTACAGAATGAAAGACAGTGGGAAAATGGCAACCTAGCATCTCTGAGTAAGATAAAGCTGTGAGCATAATCATTTAAATAAACTGTTCAACGATAACTCACCAATGTGTAAAGTATGACTTCTGAAAAGCTGTCAAGGTTGGTGGTGAATAAACATGTATTTGGTTTTTAAGAGATTTAAACATGTTTGCCTCAAAATTAAACTTAAAAAAATTTAGGGTCGATTGTTTAATAAAGTGTTTTTTACTATAAACTACCATGTTGAATATTCCTAGGGGCAGGGATCACTGATTCTTCTCCACACTCAGTACCTCATAGAGCAGGGGCTCAATAAATGTTAGGTTGATTTATAAATGAACAGACAATAAATATATTGTCCTATTTAATCTCTGTATATATACTCAATTAGTGTTTGCCTTTTAAAAAATTCTTGTGGGTAAAGACCAGAATTATACAAAGCCATGAGAAAATATTGTCATGACACTTTCTATTATTTAATTTTATTCCAAATGTATGGAACACGGATAGCATGCATTTGAGAAAAACCAGTTGATTTAAATTTCTCTTGATAATCCTTGATATGTAAAAATTAAATATAATTTTAACACAGGAACAGTGATAGTATTTCAGATTAGGAAGAACCAGCTTGCCATGAAAAGTATAATTACATATAAATATGTTATAATAATTCCTGCCATTATTACATGCTACTATAGAGTATATATTCAGTATGGTGTAATAGTGTCACTTTTGATAAGATTTATATTCGACATTTTTGTTCTATTTATTCTTTTCACATCAAAGTATACCAGCCAGACACTTCATTACAACACTGACCTTGGCCTTCGACATTTTGTACAATTATGGTTTCTCATTGGTGACTTGTTACATTCCCAAGTTCGCTACTTAACCCAAACTAGAATTATTAAATACATCTACTGAAAACAAGGACA